TTGGGCCACATCCAATAGCTTTGGCCAATCTATTTGGTTGGCAATCACGTAGTGCCTCAGATAGATCTCTAACAGAGCATTCACTCGCTCAGTTTGCCCATCGGTTTGTGGATGAATTGCGGTGGAAAAGTTCAAGCTCAATCCCATCAGTTTGTATAACTCCGTCCAAAACCTCCCTGTGAACCGTGTGTCCCGGTCACTAATGATGGTTTTCGACATTCCCCAATACTTCACCACATGCTTAAGGAAAAGTCGAGCGGCCTCTACAGCTGGACACACCTTAGACGCGGGTATGAACGTTGCATACTTCGAAAACCTGTCAACCACAACCATTATACTTGAAAGTCTATCAGTTTTGGGTAAACCAATTATAAAATCCATGGAAATACTCTCCCATCGGCGCTTAGGAATGGGCAACGGTTATAGCAGTCCTGCTGGCTTCTTCGCCTCGATTTTGTCTTGTTGGCATACAAGACAAGTCTTCACATAGGCCTACACATCTTCAGCCATGTGCGGCCAATAGTATTGCTCCGAGAGTAATGCCAATGTTCGATCAACTCCCGGATGTCCCGCCCACTCGGAATCATGGCATTCCTTCATGAGCTCCTTGCGTAACTTCCCATATCGAGGCACAAAGAGACGATGGCCTCGGTGATAAAGCAAATCTCATTTGAGCCAAAACTCTCGGGTTCGCCCCTCCTTGGTTCCCTCGATGATTCGTTCGGCCACATGATCATAGGGTAATTATTCCTTGATCCTCTCGAGGAGAGTACCTTCCACAGTTTCAATGGCATACCTCCGGCTTAATCCATCTGCAACACAGTTCACCTTCCCGAGCTTGTACTCCAAGGAAAAGTCGAACTCGGCAAGAAACTCTTGCCAACGAGCTTACTTGGGAGAAAGCTTATTCTGGGTGAGGAAGTAACTGTTGGCAACATTGTCTGTGAACACCACGAACTTCGACCCAAGCAAGTAGTGTCAACATGTGCGCAAGCAGTGTACAACTGCTGTCATCTCTTTCTCATGAACCGAGTACCTCCTCTCGGTCTCATTGAGCTTCCGGCTCTCGTATGCAACCGGATGTCCCTCTTGCATGAGGACTCCACCAATGGTAACATCGGATGCATCAGTGAAGACTACAAAAGGCTTGGTGTAGTCTGGCAACACCAACACGGGCTCATTCACCATGGCCTCCTTGAGTTTTTCAAAAGCATCCTGGCATTTCGTGTTCCATTCCCATGCCTTATCCTTTTTGAGTAGCTCGGTCAGAGGCGTGGCAATCTTGGAATAGCCCTTCACGAATCGTCGGTAATAGTTGGCTAATCCCAAGAATGCTCGTAGTTCGGTCACCTTGGTGGGTGGCTTCCACTCGTCAATCGCCTGAATCTTGTCCTTGTCCATCTGGAGCTTGCCTCCTCCAACAATATGGAATAGGAACGACACTTCCTTTTGCGCAAACGAGCATGTTTCCTCCTTGACACAAAGCTCGTTCTCTCGTAAGACTTGGAACACCATCCGCAAATGTTCAATGTGTTCTTCCAATGTCTTACTATACACAACGATGTCATCAAGGTAAACTACAACAAAACGATCAAGAAAGGGTTGTAGTACCTTGTTCATTAATGTGCAAAAGGTTACAAGAGCATTGGTGAGACCGAAGGGCATCACAAGGAACTCATATGAACCGTAGCGTGTCACGCAAGCAGTCTTTGGTTCATCGCCTTCCCCTATCTTGACTACGGTAATAGCCCGATCGTAAATTTTGTTTGGTGAATCACCTTGCACCACCAAGCTGATCGAACAAGTCTGCAATGAGGGGAATGGGATACTTGTTCTTTACTGTGAGCTTATTTAAAGCTCGGTAATCTATGCACATCCGTAGAGAACCATCGTGCTTCTTTTGAAATAACACCGGTGCACCATTGGGGAACTTGGATGGTCGAATGTATCCGGCATCGAGGAGATCCTTCAATTGTCTATGCATCTCTTCTAATTCGGGCGGAGCCATTCGGTAAGGGGCCCGAGCGGGTGGCTTTGCATTCTCCACCAATTCAATCTTGTGATCCACCTCCCTCTTTAGAGGTAACTTCTTGGGTAACTCGGCTCACTGGAACAATGCATTGTTGCTTTGGATTCATGATGCACAAGCAATCGGTAAAAGGTACTAGGAAAGCATTTATTCGATCCAAAAAATTTAACCCAATAACAAAGTCGAAGTTATCGAGATTGATTACCTTGATGGCTTCCTTTCCGGACCAACTTCCGACGGTTAGCTCGATTCCCTTTGTGACCCCCGCAATTGGAACCTCTTCGGTATTCACGGTTTTGATGGATCTCGTTGCCTTCTCCACATGAAGGCCAAGTCTTTTGGCAATTTGTTCGGACATGAACAATTCTAAGGCATTTGTGTCCACTAGTGCGCTCATCTTTTGGCCTGCGACGGTGATGTTTACGTACATCAATCCCTTCTTCTTGCGGCCCTTCTTGACCTCCATGGTGCTAAGGATGGAGCCAAGCTTGAGAGTCTCACTCTCCACCCCATCATTCTCCTTGATGGCAACAACTTTCACGAGTTGAGGACAATCTCGTTTCATGTGATTTCCTCCACAAGTAAAGCACGCTAATTCTCCCTTCTTATCCTAAGGATTGAAGAGCTTTTTGGGTCCATCATTCGGCTTCCCATGGTTTCCCGTTGGCTTGTGAAAGTTACCTTTGGCCTTCTCTCCCCCACTATTACCCTTGGGTTTTGACTTGGATTGGAGAGAGTCGGTCTTCTTTACTTCAAATGGGGCAATGGCCTCGGCTACATCTAACGCCTTGGAGAGCTCGGTCACTCCCCTCCTTTGGATCTCCATGTTGGCCCAACGTGTTAGTCCATCCATGAATGCAAAGTACCCTTCTGACTCGCCCAAGTCATGGATTTGCATATTGTTCTCTGTGAAGATTTTGACATACTCCAAGATAGAACGATCGTGCCTCAATTGTTTTAGTTTTGCTCGAGCCTCGAGCACAACATTTTTCGGATAGAAATGCTCCTTGAGTTCTCCCACGAACTCTTCCCACGTTCCGATTGGATTTGTATTCTCGGAACACCTACGACGCCACCATAACATAGCAACATCGTTAAGATAATTGGAAACAACATTTACCTTGGTGGTATCATCCCCGATACCCATACCACAGAAGAATTGCTCCATGCCCCAAATGAAATTCTCCACATCTTAAGCATTTCGACTCCCCTTGTACTCTTTTGGCTTAGGGACGTCGATTATGGGTCGTGGTGCTTGCGCCTCCCCAGTCACTCCATTCAACACGGCCGCCTTGTAGACGAGCAGCTCGCTCTTGAGCTCCTTTACCTCATGCATTATTTCGGCCCTCATGGCCAAGTACATGCTCTCAAGGCCTCTGGTACGTTCGTCTACGTTCTCCGTCAACTCGCTGATGAGTGCTTGGGTTTCCTCACAGAGTACATCCTTACGGACTCCACCTTCTCCAAGCGAGATTCAACCGAGTCTTGAGTCTCTTGGACTTCATTATATCGGTCTTTCAACCTACCGACCCTTTGCTCGAACAAGGCCACCATATCATTCGAGTTTGCTCGTTTTTTTGGTATGGCAACACGAGTAACTTTGCTTATTGGGGCATCGTCTGGGTTTTGTTGTGTCATTCTCACAAAACTAGCTCTGATACCACTTGTCACGCCCTTAGAACTTCGACGCCTCGGAACGTGCAACCTTAGTCGCCTTCTTAGTGATTGCGGCTAAGTAAGCCTGAAAATATCCCAAGCAAGGATGTTTAGAACCTCGACGGAAGCTAGACAAGAGAACTAGCACAAGAAGGAAGATAAGAAAGCTTTGAGAGAAGAATGCTCTTATGATTTCTCAAAGTGAAAGAGTGAGTACAAATGAGGAGGGGAGGCCTCTATTTACAGCTAAAGCTCCCCTCAATGAACGGCTAAGATCTAATTACATTGACGGTCAAGATTAATCTTTACCTACCAAAAATAAGTGGGCATTATCTATACAAATTTAAATGCCACCTAAGTCTTTGTGGCTTCTAGAAGGTCCAAACCCCTACTTGGGCTACTTCTCATGGGCTAACCTCGGTGGTGGGCTTTGGTCCGTGACAATAAGAACGAACTGAAAAATGGTAGTGAGTCCAAATTACCATATTGTGAATTTTCATTTTCGGATATCCAGTATTTAAAATGTGTGTAATTTACAATTTTTAATATTAATCCATTTATAACAGAAACTGCATTTTGCGAAATTTCATACTCCGTGTCTGCTGAATGACAAAGGTGCTGGATAATACCGTCATTTGCAAAAAAAATTTGGGTTGGAAATGAAATTTCATTTTTTTTGAATTAGAATTTAATTTTAATATAGTTTTAGTTCAAACTTTTCTAATTTTATAAAAATTAAATTATAAATTTTATTGTTTTAAAAAACTTAAATAAAAAATAAAATATATATATATATATATATTTTAAAAAAACTAAGGGTAAACTATATATTTAGTTGCCCAACTGTCAAGTAGATTATGTTTTGGTCATCCAGATATTTTACTTTTAAAAATCATTACTAACATTACATTTTAGTTTCATTTTTTTCATACACCATTAAAAACTTAACAGAACTGTTGATGTTATATTTATTATTTTTTTAATAAAGACAAGCCATTACTTGTTTGGTGACACAATAACGTCACTGTTAATTTTTTAACTGAGTGTTCCAAAATGAAATCAAAAAGTAATGTTAGTGATGATTTTAAAAAAATAATTGGATAATCAAAATGAAACTAAAATATTAGTTGGGTGACTAATTACGTAGTTTATCCAAAAATTAGATAGACAATAAATAATTTACACGACGTCCAATGTAACAGATTAATAGCTGCGATGCGGTAGAAGTTACAACATTGGCATTGTAAAGTCTCTTTGTGACACTATAGATTTTCTTGACATCTGCCAGAACCGCTTCGCATTATATAATGCTCATGACTCGGCAGTTCAACGCGGTCGCGTCCTGGACAAAATCTGCACAGCTGATTTAGTACTTCATCTCACAACTGGAGCGGAACAGGTTATCCAACAAAGAATTGGAACATGTTTGGTTCTGATCTCAAATGCCATCTTCAGTTGTGGAAGAAGTCCGAAGGTATTGAAGGAGGACAACACTGCTTTGCAACACATTTGTACTGTGGCCTCAAAAGAAAAAAATGCATACATTTCAGCTATGCAAGCAGAGGAAAGAAACATGATGTTCCTATTGCGTTTTCTTAGTATAAATTTGATGCAACCTATCATATTTTTTACCTTGTGCTGGCTGTATTTCTCCCTGATTGCCGGCAAAGTCGAATTTTTGTTGTTACAGCATAGTCTATGAAGATCCTTAACACACTCGAATAGATCAGACGGATTATACAGTGTGTAATGCTGCAAGGTAGAATTCTGCACCATGATAAAAAGAGATCAGAACAGTAATGTCAAGAAAATGTGTCTTTTTAACAAGAAAACAATCATGAGTGTCACGAACCCAAGGTTTCTTTGACGGAAGAAGTATAAATATGGCCAGGAAAATAGCTGATGCAGCAATAAGTGATGGAGCATAGCAGAGCATACTGTACTCGAGGAGAGAGAGCTCAGCAATGTAGTTGGCCATGCACTCTAATTGCATCAATGGAACCTAATCAGACGCCAGGGCAAATCAAGGAGTTAGGTGCATAAAACCAAAGGAAATAATTAATGTTATTCGGACTTGGGTGTGAGTGTTTGTTACGAATACGTCATTTTACTAATTTTCAGAAAAAAAAAACAATATTTGTAGTACCTCATCGATCCCTTGAGCAGCACGAACAAAACGTCTGATTATCATATGAAGATCAAAAAGTTAATTCAAGAACAGAGATCGTGAAAACCCGAAATTACATTTGAAAATAATGTGCTAAAAGAATGACCTTAAGAAGCACTTAGAAGTGGGGGCAGTCATTTCAAACTTCAAGTAATTCAAAACAGATGATTCCATCTCTAGAACCTGTTTCAATGGCATATTCAGATTTGATAAAGTAGCATCAAAGGAACTTGTAGTTCAAATAAGAGGCCAAAGCCGAACCTCATCCTTGAAATATGTGTTATCAGTGATGTAGCAGAACTCCTCCACTTGAGGGGCGCAAATCTCCTCATATTTGCTGATAAATTGAACACTCTAATGTTAAAAATTAGAAAAATTACATATGATCCTTTGTTATTTGGACTAAACATGCTTTGTATGTATGTGTCAACATGAAATACTTTAAAACAAATGTAGTAGTGTGCTATTTCTTACGCAGCAATCATCATGCAGGCAACACCAAGCAGCTGCAGCTGCTGCCTGTTCATCATATTCCCCGAGAGGTACCGATCTATGTAGTTAACGGTCAAATATAATGTATCTGGAACAAGCCTATACTCTTCAGCCACCTGCATTTCAAATTGAATCTTGGAAATGTTAAACGGATGAAGGTGATGGCACCAGAGATTATGCCAACAGAAGACAGACAGTTTAGTCTTGGTGTATTGGATTCTAAATAACCATATAACTCCATGAGTACACAGAAAATTACTTCAACAAGCCAATCAATCAGTATTGCACGCATACTGGAATTTATGTCTTTCTGAATTGTCTCCATGAAGTCCGTGGAAGGTCTTTTCTTCAACTGAAAAACCAAAAGAAATAAGAAATTTCAGGAGCAAATCAAAATCAGGAAACAGAATCAAACAGGTTACACTTCTCTATGGACATTTGAATTTTAAGATTCTTTCCATAAAACTTCTTTTGTTACTTGAACTGGGATGTAAATTTCATAAGTATACGTTCAACAGGGGTGTCTTCGATTTGTTTATGTTTTTATGCTAATGTTTCTTAGTCAAAATAGTGTTTAATATCATACATTTTCTAGTTATACCTTTAAGAACTCTGCCTATTTATTTAATCAAATCTTCAAACGTATACCTCAGATGCCCGTAGGTGCTTGTAAATATCACAAGCATATGTTGCACAAAGCTGTGGATACATGTAGTTGTCATCAACATCCATTATCTTATTATCGGTTTCCTTGCCGTCGTCAAAAACTTCTCGATTGCAGAATTTTCCTGCAATAAAATCAATTAAAACCAAGTGAATATATTTCAAGAGAAATCTAAGAACCAAATACATTTTCTAGAACATGGTGCTGTACCTGCTGCTTCTACTTCATGGTCCGAAATGCAGAGATTGCTGAATGTCTTTCGCTCGATGGAACCAACCGCTGAAGCATCCTGGTTGTCCATGTATTCCACCTCGGGGCTTTTGAAAGAATCACACGTGGACATTGTCTCATCCATGGAAACTGATGATAAGCCTTCTGATTTACTAGGAGAAAACTCCATGCTACACTGTACTGTTGGAGGAGGGAATACCACTTCATTTTCTGTTGGGAAAGATGAAACAACCTTGGGCGGCAAAACTGAACTGTGTCTTACGTTTGTAGGAGGAAGAACATGTCCGGAGAGACCTACGTTTGTAGGAGGTAAAACAGGTCCTGGGAGACCTACATTTGTAACAGACTGTGTCTTCCTTGCCTTTGATATTTTGTTTGAACTTGGTACCTTCAAATTTGAAATTTAAAATCAAAAGTCAAAGACTGGTTTACCCAATAACCCAAAAATATAAACATAATCAATCAAAACCACAAATTTCTACTTAAATGTAAACAGAACAGCATCCGGATACAGTTTTCTTTTTGGTTCTATGATAAAACATTTGGGTACATAGTTTCAAGTTTGCTCTAACTCTTCACTTGGCTTCTAAGCAAGAAATAAATGAATAATAATAATAATAACCCAAATCTGTTGTTCTTCTCAGAATTCCTATAATAGTAAAAAAGTTATTTGGAAAAGTTTTGAAATACCCATTAAATTCAAAGAACGTGTATAAACATAAGAATCCTACATCAATGAAAGAAAGAAGAGAAAAAGATCAAATATATAAACAAAAAGAAGTTAAGACCCACCAAAGAAGAGGCCGAAGCCGAGCTTCTTGAGCTATTTCTTTGGTTAGTTATGTTAGTGAGAGGGACTCTCTTTTTAGCCAAAGAAGCCGTGACTTTCCCCACATTCTCCGACGACGATGCATGTCGTTTGGCTAAAGACGACGTCGTCGATGAAGAAAACGACGATCGCCGATTGTTACCATTTAGCTTCGACATTTTTATCAGCTTCCTTTTCCGAAAGAGAGAAGACTACTGCAAGAAGCACTTTGGTTGCGGAATGTTCGTTCCCTTGTTTCTTATATTTTCTTAACGATGCAAAGGGCATTTCAAACTTTGAATTAACGAAATATCTTAGCCGTTGTTTCCACTCGCTAATCGTTGGGAGCGTGATATGGGGACCACTTACCCTGTTTAGAGTTCTAACAGCCGGAGTTTTTTGTTGGTCACAACAACCAATAAAAGATTGACACATTTGAAGCACAAAACCGGGGGACGAACTGAGAGGATTTGATTGGTTGGTGATTGTGTACAAAAGTCACAGCTAGGTGTGTTTTGATTCAGGTGTGTCTTTTGAATTCGAAATTTCAAACGGTCACAAGATCTGTCTTGTCTTTTTCTCAATTCTATGGTAACCACCTAGTAAATATAACAAAAATATATAAATAAAACAAAAAGATTTTGAATAATTGAACTTTTGCAGGTCTTTTTACATAGAAATCATATATGAATATTTTAGTTTAAACAAGTATTTTTTGATATATAATTTATTTTAGTTTCAAATCTTAAAATTAATTCATAAAATTTAATTTAAATTTTAAATCTTACATATAAACAGAGTCGGAACGGAGTTAAGACCAGTGGGGGCTTACACTTGAAAAATTATATTTTAGACCCTTAAAATTTTTAAAATTTTAATTTATTTATTATATATTTTTTAGAAATTCATATTAAACTTTAAAAAAAAATTAATGTTCTTAATTAAACCTCTCCCATAATTTTTAAAAATTCTAATTAAATCTCTCAAAATTTCAAAAATTTTAGTTAGATCCCAATTGTTTTGCAAAAAAAATGAAAACTAAACTCTTCATTTTTTTTTAAATTTTAATTTAAACTTTTTAAAATTTTAAGTTGACCCCCAAACTCTATCACCAAGTTCCGTCATTGCATATAAATCATAATTCTTGAAAACTAAAATATTAAATATTAAATATGAAAATAATATTAAAATATTCAGATTATATAAAATAAAATTTATGTTTTTTTTGGTTACACACGGACAACTGAATAAACGAAAAACTATAGAGACTAATTCGTTGAATAAACTGAATTAGATTTTACATTGTTTGTGTATAAAAAACCTAAAATTTAATGTAAAGTATGAAAAATAGTTTCAGAGGACGAAATTTAGGTTTAAAAACTTAAAATGAAGTGTTAAAAAATTAAAATATAACATTAGTTTGGTTTGATTAATGAATATGGAAAAAGTATAATAAATATTATTACAAATTAAATATAACACTTTGTATATGTTTTATATTCAGCGGCAAGATTACCTTTATTTTTGTAATGAGAGAGTGAGGCCGAAGCCAGTTTTATCAGCCCCTTAAACGTTTATGAAGGGGGGCCATTAACATCTCTAAGTAAAATATGAACCAAAGATACCGGTGGTTGGTCTAAAACAGAAAACAGCTCATCTTGTGGAGCAACGGAAGTTGCAGTGTAATTTGCAGCTTGATTTGAAATCAACACTCCGAGCATTGTTGCAAAGGACGGCAACAGATCCTGTATGGACTAGCTAATGAAGGAGGTGAAAGTAGCTTATACACGTCTACATTGTCCATTTTAATGACAACTTTGTTGCAATAATTTGTCCAAGCCAGCTTGAAGAACGGAAGATGGTCCCAACTGTTTTCTAAAATCCAATAGAAATTTCTCTTCAAACCTTTGAAGACTCCCCAGAGTTCGATTTCAAACCTTTATTGTTGGACTTTCAGTTGACATCTTAAAAGAAAAATAATTAAATTAAATTAAATAATTTAAAATATAAAAACCCTTTAATAAAATAGTAACATGTATCACAATTTGATTGGAGGATTAAATTTATTGAATTAAATTAAAATTAAGATCAAATTGATAGAGGGTACAAATATTGAGAACAAAATGTATAATTATACCAATTTTATTACTGTACAGTCACCACCTCCGTTACATTTAAATAGTTAAGTGGTCTGATTGATTAAATTGAAACGTTGGTGGTTAAAATAATTTTTTATAATAATTTGGTGATCCCGTAGAGTTTACCCTAATTAATATTATGCTCATTTGTACATATAAAATTCAAATTCAAATTTGAAACGTTGCTACTTCATAGTTGTATTGTATATATTTCTATTATTATTATGGGGTTCATAAAGCATGCTCATGAATCGAAAAATGTTCTAAAGTTTTACGAGCTTGATTGTGATTAATATCATGTGATAAGTAGATTTGATTGATTGAGATGATATTTATTTATTTATTTTTTTTATCACCGAATTATTATTTTTAAAATTATATTTAATATTATATTATTTTTTATTTTAATTATATGTTGTTAGATTTAATAATTAGTTTAACAAAAATGTTGATATGCCATGATATAATAATAACTTTAGTCTTTAAAATTTTTGTATTTATCAAATTGGTCATAAATTAAAATAATTTAATAAATCTTAACGATATTAATAGTGGGTTGATCTAGTGTTGAGACTCGAGTTATGGGCTTTGGTCCCGACTAGGGATTTTACTAACGTAAGGGTTGAGAGTGGCCTTAGTGACAAGGCTATGATAGATGTTGACCTCAATGGTGGTTGTTGAGATAACATACACAATAAAAAAATCAATTTATAGCTGTAATGACACTTGAACATTACATAATGATGCAACCTTACTGGTGATCGGAAAAACGACATAGTCACTTGATATTATACTTATGGGACCTTAGTGGCGTTGTTACTAGTACACATTTGTAAACAATTACGACCTTAGTGATGTGACCTCAATGGATATTCTGAGAACATTTATAAACTTATACTCAATGTTAGAGAAGGTCGAGAGATGACATATTGATACATGATTATATACTATACTGCCCCGATTACTTGTTGATCATAATTCATGGCTAAGCCCGTAATTGTAAACTAGGAAAAGCATGAGACCAGGGCCGGTGTTAAGACGTTGAAGGCCGGTGTTAATATGTTTGGCAACATTGTAAAATATATATAATCCTTTATTGTTTTAGTTGTATTTGAGGTATTTTTTAATAAAAAATAAAAAAAATATTTGATAAAACTTAATTATATTTTTTTATAATTTATTAAAAAAATATTAAATGAATTCATTGAATGACTTCCATAGTTAAAGGATATGTTATTTTTTCTAAAAGTCTTAAATTCAAACAATTATATTTGTAAGTGTATTTGTGTGGTTAATAATATTAAATTAATTTTTTTAAAGTAATGTGAATATATTTTTATTTTATAAAAGTCTATTTTTAAATTTTTATATGCTCGATACTTTTTGAGGCGACTCTTGGGGGTTCTCGCTGCACCTTTCACAACCCCGCAGCCAAAATCATCAAACACCTATAACTTAACTTTGCTGTTCAGGTTTTGTCCTCCTCCCTGGGGATCTTGACTTATGTTTTCAAGCCAAAGAGTTCAGGCTCTCACCAAAGACACAGGTTTTGATCTTTAATTACATTCATCGTTATCTTTCCGGCAAATTATATCGTTTTACCGGTAATTTGGCGTAATTCTTATATTTGCTCAATGGCTTGAAGCATCTAGTCGACAGCATGCCACTAGTGTTCTCGTTCGACACCTACAGTGGGATGCCGGTGCTTTCCAAGACAAAAGGAGAGATTATAATGGGAGAAAAATGGTTTTTCAAACTTTGTTTATCTGCTATTCACCGAAAAAGGCCCCATCCTTTTTGAATCTCCTCACTCCAACATGGGGTTTGTAATCTTAACTTTGATCTCTCTTTTAACTTTTTTTTTAAGATCCACTGCTAAAGGCAATCCTTTATCTTCTTGGTACAAAAAAGTTAGAATAGTGACAATATTATAAATATTAAGTTTCCGAACTCAATTTTTTCTTCTTCTAATTTATAAAATTGGAGAGGGGTTATCGAATTTGAACCTTAAGTGTTGCCACATAACAATTTTATCACCCTAATTGATATTCTGCAATGTGCCATGAGTTATTGTTTGCATGCTGCCTCGTTGTAAAACGACAATGCTTATTTCTACATAGGGTTATTTTTACTGTTACACATCATAATGTTGAGACCGAGAGTAATGAGTTTGCTTTCTCATTTGAACCGTTCAAAATTACGTCTAGTTTGAATCAAGGAAGAATACCCCAATCCTACCGTTTGCAACATGCCTGTCAAAGGCATCATACCCTACTTTATGCTTTTTGACTTAAGATTTCAAAATATTTATATTAGATATTTAATTCGAATTAATTCATCATAAACTTTTGAGAAAACGGAATAAATCCCACATTTATCATGAACTCAGTTACACCATTCAAAATTTGACAATTCAAAACACCGAATCAAAGGAAAAACGCATCCTCTGATTTGGAATTCCATGCCGAAAAGTCTAGCTAAAGAACTGAATGATTGAAAATTGAAACTATGGCTTGTCGTCTACTGAACCACCACAACACAAGTCACAACTCCAATAGGTCAATGGACCCAACAATATCTACATCTACCCCACCATCATGCCTTTAATCCCGCCGAGACTAAACTTTCCTAAAATCTCTCTCTCTCACACACATATATATAGAGAGAGACCTTGACTCACTCCAGACACTGAAACTACTTTGTTTTACGATCGGTTGGTTTTTTTTACTTGAGTGTTTGTTTTCAGTTAAAGCAATGGCACACGATGATTCCTGCAGAAAGCCTGGAGCTGTTCCTTTTAAGTGGGAGATCCGACCCGGTGTTCCCAAGGTCCAACAACACCAACAGAAACAGAGGCAGCCGCCGCCGCAGTTGTCACCACCGGCGTCGCCTTTTATAAACCAACGTTCATTGCGAAGTCCTCCACCCGGACCTCCTCGGCGAAAGCTTAAACCCCCACCAGCTGCATCCTCCTACATTCTATCTCCGGAGCCCCGAACTCACTCTTTTAGGTCCACACCACGTGGCCGATCCGAGAGTTTCCGGTTCAACCAACCTACCCGACTCCGACCCGAATGTGTTTCACCCGGGTGTTTCCCAGCTCCACTGCTTAGG